GGACATATCTGGGGTGTGGCAGGTCCCCAAAGCAGCTTCGGAGCGAATGTCTTGAACTCTAAAGCCATCTACTGAATGAAACTCTATTTCTTGTGTTTTATAAAAACCTCTTGACTCCTGGTGGAGGGGCTATGAAGAAGGGGAACACTGATAGCAACCATAGCTCCCATTTCCAGAGCTTTCTGAGCCACAGATTTCATACATTATCTTGTTCACTTCACAGCAATTCACTGTGGCAAGCACTATTACTATACCCATTTCCTAGCAGAGGAGACTGAGTCTCACAGTGGCTCTGCCCCTTATGGATAGTCAGACAACTGGTGAATGGCAGAGTCAGAGTTTAAACCCAACATTGATGGACTCGACATCCCATGTTTTACCCATGACTGTGCTGCCTTCCTGTACCCCTTCCAGCCATGAGCCCCCCACCAAGGGAAACCACTGTCCTGGTTTCCACAGCTGTGATGCATCATGTCTGTATTTGTACTTTATGTAAATGGAATCATACAGTATGTGCTTTTTGGTCCTGGCTTCTTTTACCAAGTTTGATGAGGTTCACCCATTTTATTAGTATGGCTGTTGATCATTTGTACAGAACGCCATTGTATAACTGTGGCCCAATTTATTTATCCATTTTACCACTGATGGACATTGAATTGTTCTGGTTCTTCGCTATGGCCAAAAAGATCTCTATTGTGAATATATGAATTTTTCAGGTTGTTGATAAAACACTCTATGGGGACAATTACATCATCTGTGCGTAATGAGAGTTTTGAGGGTTTTTTTCCCCCCTATTTCAAACCTGTAACTTTTATTTTTGTTCCTGATTTTAAAAGCCTTCACTGTTTCATCATTAAAAAAAAAAAAAAAATTTGCTGTGGGTTTTTGGTAGACACCCCTTATCAGATTAAGGAAATCCCTTTCTATTCTGAGCCTGTTCAATTTTTTAAAAAAATATTAAATAGGTATTTTGAATTTCATCAAGTGTGTTTTGTTCATCTATTGAAATTACCACATTGTTTTGTTCTTTCAATATGCTAATGTAGTGAATGATAATTACAGATTTTTTGAAGTTAAGCTTTATATTCTTGGAATAAACCCAGCTTAGTCACAATGTGTTATCTCTTTAATAAAATGCAGGATTCATTTTGCTAATATTTGTGTAGGATTACTACTTTTATGTTCATAAATGAGGCTTTCCTATGGTTTTCTTGTATTACATTTTTTAAGTTTTAGTATCAAAGGTATAGTGGACAGAATACGTTTCTTTTTCTCAAATGATTTGCATAAGATTATATGTTCTATGAAATTTCGGTAGAATTTATCTGTAAAATCATCTGGCCTGGTGATTCTTCTTTTTTTTTTTATCTTCACCCAAGGACATTTTTGCATTTATCTTCAGATAGAGCAGGAGAGAGAGGGGGAGGAAGAGAAAGAGAAACATTCATGCGAGAGAGACACATCCACTGGCTGCCACCCACACAACCTCAACCGGGGCCAGGGACAAACTGCAACCGAGGTACGTGCCCTTAGTGGGAACCAAATCGAGGACTCTCTGGTCCACCAGCCCACGCTCTAACTGCTGCGCCTAACCGGCCAGGGCTGGCCTGGTGATTCTTTGTGGGAAAATTAAACAATTGATTCACGTGTTGTAAGGGCTATGAGTTATTTGGACTTTTATATTCTTTTTGAGTTGGTTATTTTTATTTATTTATTTTTAATCCTACTCGAGGATGCTCTAACCACTGAGCCAAACCGGCCAGGGCTTGAGTTGGTTATTTTTAAAGGAATGTGTTAATTTCTTCTAAGTTAATGCATCTGTATGCATTCTTTGGCTTATCGTTTTTAATAGTACACTCTTATCTTTCTAGTTTCTGCCGGATCTCTCATTATAACCCCTTCTTTTCAATATTATGTGTGTGTCTCTCTTTCTTGAACTCTGTTAGAAGCTTGCCAATTTTATTCATGTTTTGAATGAGCAACTTCTCATTTTTGTTGATCATGTTCATTACATTTTTGTTCTCTATTTCACTAATTTTTGCACTTACAGTTGTCTTTAAATTTATTTTGTTCTAAGTTGAGTGATGAGCTCATTTTCATCTTCTCATATTAATAAGTATTTAGGTCCACATTCCTCTTACATTGTCTTCTTCACTGCTGTGAGCCTTGGTGTATTGTATTTTATTATTGTCTAGTTCCAAATATAAATTTTTCTTATTATTTGAATCTACAAAGATGTTAAAAGCACACCCCACATGAATCTAACTCTTCCTCTTGATATAATAATGCAACTTTAGGGAAGTTACCTTACAAAGTGAGAATTTAAAGTTTTAAGCATGAATTTTTGAGTTCTAATTTAATTGCTTTGTGGTTAGAAAAATTGGTCCATATGATAATGGAAATTTGAAAAATTTGACCCTTCTTCCATGGCCTATTCCTTGGTCAGTTTTTATAAACATCCCATTGTTATTTGGAATCTATGTATGCCCTATAAATCAAACTTGCTAACTGAATTTTTGTACTTTTACTAATTTTTGTCCTATTAATAAGATACCTCAAACATCTCTCTCTGATGATAAGTTTAATTTCTCTGTGTGTTCTATCAATTTCAATTTGCATATATATGACATTTTAAGAATTGTTTTATCTTCCAGATGAATCAAACATTTTAACAGCGACCCTAATGCTTTTATGTAATATAATGCTTTTATGTATTAAAGCCTCCTTTTTGTGAAAGCAGAAAGTGTATCTCTTGGAGCAAAGAGCAAAGAACATTGGTAGGGTAAAGGCATGGGATATGGGTATGAGGTCAAAACATCCTGCTCGGAGGTTTTACTTTGACCATATATGGACTACCATGTTGAGCATGGGTCTGAAGAACCCTAAGACAGTGACCTTGGCCTCAAGTAACATACAGCCCAGCTTGGAAGCCGAGGCACGGATTTCAAAACGGATAGGCCATACATAACAGCAACTGCCAAGTCAGAGAAGGGTGATGTCGCGATGGGACAGCCAGGGAGGCCCCGCATTTTACAGAAAAAAGGTGAACTAAGCTCAGAAAAACCGGACTTGGATCTGATGGAGGCATGGAGATAAGGAGAATGGACTTGACACGGATGGAAAGGTCCATGGAATAAAACCCGCAGTTTAACGGTGGGCGTGCATTCGGTTCTGGGCAGTATGTCAAACACCTTACATTATTTTAACCACTCCTCACATCACCCCTTTGAAACATGAATTATATTTCCACTTTACAGACGAGGCACCTGAGGCTCATGACTTGCCTCATCTGTAAGGTGCGGAAGCTAACGTCCCCAAAGTCACATAACTGTATCGAGAGGAGGAGTTAGGTTCACGCGAGGTCTTAGGCCCGCTCCTGGAATGCTGGGGACGCCCATGGCGTTCAGCTCGAACTTGAGCGATGAGAAGAGAGTAAGATTGGAAGCTGAGATGAGAAGTGTGAGCCTTTCCCCTTTTAAGCAAAGCAGTGAGGGCCCGAGTAAGCCTCCTGGGGACAGCAGTTGGAGGGGACCTGGGGACAGTGGTTGCAGGGGACCTGGGGACAGCAGTTGGAGGGGACCTGGGGCAGGGGAAGAACACAGAACAGGGGAGCGGGCCCGTTCCTGTAATAGAAGACTCACACTGACCTCTGAACAAAATCCCTCGCCAGGTTACCTTTCATGTCATTTCAAAAACACTAATATGACAAAAATCTTCTACTGGGGCTTATTCTACGTCTCTCTTTTAAAGATAAATGTTACAATAAGGACTCTAAAAGAAAATCTTTAAAAATGTTTGATGGAGACTTTGAAACGTGATGGGTTAAATTCTACTTGGCTTCTGACCCCTTTATTGAAAGCGCCATGGTCCTGAATCATGCTTAGTCACTCATTCAGAGCTGGGTTAATTAGACACAATGTGGGCAGACAGAATGACATCATGTACCTCCAGCAAAAGAAACAGAGGAGAAAGAGGGGGAAATAGAAAGATTCCAATTTTTTTTCCCCCAAAAGACTGGATAGTACTAATCAAAGTTGGGTGTGGGGGGAGATTGTGGTGAGCTCTGGTGGGGGCATCAACGGCAGTGTTGAAGGAATTGTAAACATTTTGTGCCCGAGCAGGGAGGGAAGACCAAAGAAGCTTACTATAGACAGCCGGTTCCAAAAATACTTCACAGAACACCAATTCCATGGAATGATCAGAGAAAAAACCCCACATGAGTTCCATGATTTGGAGCCTTTACAATTTTCATGTGTAGCCCTGGCTGGTTTGGCTCAGCAGTTGGAGCGTCGGCCCACGGACCAGACAGGCCGGGATTCGGTTCCCGCTAAGGGCATGCAGCTCGGTTGCAGTTTGTCCCCGGCCCTGATTGGGGTCATGTGGGTGGCAACCACTCGATGTGTCTCTCTTGCATGGATGTTTCTCTCTCTCTCTTCCTCCCTCTCTCCCTCCTGCTCTATTGGAAGAAAAATGCAAATATGTCCTCGGGTGAGGATAAAAAAAATTTTTTTTCATGTGTATTATAAACTCCTAAGAGGGGATGCAGTATGCAAGGTTCCTGTTTGCTTACAGACCCCTCTTCCCCCTACACACATGCTTCCCCCTCCCCTTGGGGATTTCTTCCGCCTAGTATTTCTTACTTCACCCTTCCATAAATTCCGGGAGAGGTAGCACGTAACCCAGAATTTCTCCTACTGTCTAGATTTCCTCTGTTTTCTCCGAGATGTGCCTGATGAATGCTTCTAAGATTACTTGAGAACTAAATGAATATCTTCTACTTAAATAAAAACTTACAAGGGCCAAGTGATTTTCTTAAAATCCCCAAACTTCGATTCCCAAGTTTCTCAGCTATCCAAATGAATCAATAAAGTAGTTCATGAGAGGAAATTGCAGCTATTTTATACATTTTAAAAAATCAACGCTCACGTATAATCAGATTATAAAATGAATCACATGGCCACATCTCCTCCTAGCCGCCTGGGCTGTAAGGGCTCCAGTGCTCAGTAGCCCCCTCTGGGCGGAGCAGCGGGGGGCTGGGTCTCCCCTGCCCCCCGATCAAAGAAGCCGTTGGCAGGCGCTTTCAGGGTGTCTCTCCTGCAGGCCCTGGAGATCTTCTGGAATTCCTCGAAAGCGGCCTCTTTCTCCTGGGAGATCTGCTCCATCCTCTGCTCCTTTTTCCTAATGGCTTCCTTGATGCCCTCGATGTGGCACTTTTCCTCCTTCTCGGCTTTCAGCTTCAGGATGTGATGGTTCTTCTCCCGGAGGATGTTGAGCTCTCGAATGTGCTGCACTTTGTCGCTGATGTGCTTGTGCGCTTTGGCCCTGGCCTGCTGGATCTTGTGGTCCTCCAGCTGCACCAGCAGCCGCTTGCGCACCTTCCGCTGCTCCTCCAGTTCTTCCGCGCGCAGCTTGACCTGCTGGTACTGCTCCTCCTCCTTCCGGGCCCTGTCCCTCAGCTCTCGGTGACGCTCCTTCATCAGGCCCCTGTGGATCTCTTGGGACCGCTGGGAGCTCTGTTCCAAGGACAGCTTCCGGAGGAGCTCCTCGGCCTTGGCCTGGCAGTCCATGAGCACCTTCCGGGCCTGGTAATTGACTAGGGAGCTGAGATTGGCTTCCTGGACCTTCTTCTGGCTCTCGGTGCTGTGCGGCTGCTTCTTGTGACAGGTGTGCTCCAGCCTCTCCTGCAGCTCCAGGCTCTCCTGCAGCTCCAGGCTGCTGTGTTTCCGCCGCTCGGGAAGCGTCTTCTGCTCTTGCTCCTGCTCCTGCTCCTGCACCTGCTCCGGCAGGCACTGCACCTGGCTCTGCTTCCTGAGCTTGGCCTCGGGGCGGGCCTTCGCCTGCTTGTCCTGGCGCTGGGTCTTCTGGTCCTCCGACTGCGCCTTCCACTGGTTGTCCTGCTGGATCATGTTCTTGGCGTGGCTGACCCACTGCTGCGGGACACGCTGCTCCCGGCTCAGGCGAACCTTGCGCTGCTCCTTCTCCCGTTGCCATTGGGCCCGGTTCTGTTGCAGCAGCAGCTTGCGTTCCCTCTCCAGGGTCATCTGGACCTTGTGGTCCGAGCGCTTGAGCTCCTCCCAGGCGGCCGCCGCCTGCTGCTGCAGCTCCCGCATCCTCTGCGCCTTTTTGAGCCTGGTCAGCACCAGGGCCACGATCTTCTGGTCCCGGGAGGATATGACTGCCTCTTCCAGTTTGTTCTTGAGGATCTGGGTGTGCTTGCTCTTCATCTCCTTGCTGGAGACTGCAGGCTGGAAGTACTGGCTGGCTAATGACTCCACCCGATCGCCACTGTCCCTCTTTGGGGTGTACACACACGCAGACAGCATCCTGAACTCTTGGGAGGGTGCAGAAGACTTCTCCGAGGGAAGTGAGGAAAGGGACCAGCGATCTAGACCTCCGTGGACGGGCACTGCCCATGGGTCTCCACTCTGCCCCTCTTCTGTCCCGAAAGTTCCACTTAGGGGAGTGTAAGCGCCCTCAGGGTACGGTGGGGGTGAATCTCCCTGGGCTGGAGGGTAGTGCTGGTGGGGCGGGGGCTGCTGGGGTAACAGCTGGGACGGGTGCGGCCAGGCCGGGTTGTGCTGGCTGCCCCCCAGCGGTTGGGGCTGGGTCCTTGGCTCCCCCCAGGCATCTTTCAGGAGCCAGCTGCGGGGCCTGTGCTTCCTGGCGCTGTCTGGGGGCCTCCGGGCCACATCACTCAGGCTGCGACTTTCCCGCGGGGAGTCAGGGGACCGGTGGCAGCGAGGTCTCGGGGTAGGCGAGCAGTGTGGGGGCGTCCAGGGAGCCGTGGCCTCGTTCCCCTCGCCCAGAGTCCCGGCCCAGGAGCCCCGCGCCAGCTGGGTCTGGGGCCGGGGCCTGCGCAGCCGAGCCGAGGACGCGCGCTCTCCGCTGGGCAGCGGGGGCTCCCAGAGGTCAGGGTAAGGCCAGGCAGAGTGGCGGCCGAAGCCCTCCATCCTCCCTCCCTGCGTGCCCGGCGTCTGAACCAGGGTCCCAGAGCCTCCAGGGGGCGCTGCTGAGACCCGCTCGGCCCTGTGATCCCCGTGGTCCGGGCGCTTGTGACGATCAGGCCACTTCACAATGCTCCTGGTGCCAGCTGATCCCCCAGCTTTTGACCATCGCCCACCCCAGCCTCCCTAGAACCTCATACCTCGAGGCGGGGAATGGGGGGCAGGAGGCTGAGGGAGGGCTCAGGGGATAAGGAAGCTGTAGGAAACCAGGGGTGATCCTTAAAGCCGAGGGTGCGAAGTGAATTAACTCCAGTATTTCAGGCAGGGATTTCATCTCGCATCTGTACCCCTTAAAATAGCAGGCTTCTAAAAGAACCTGGGTGAAGGCATCACCTCCAGAATGGAAGGTGGGGGGAAGGGTCCAGGTGCAGCGGCAGGGAGAGAATGGGGTGAGGAGTCCTCTGAGTCATCCTTAGGCAACCTTAGGGTCGCCTTCCCTACCTCTGTGCACCTCTACAGAGTATGCAAATTGAGCGACTGTGAAGCGCAGTAATATGATGCACCACACGTTCCAGTCCGAAGTCGGTTTTGTTTACTCTGTTAAACTTTAGAACAGGAAAAGACTAGTTGGTTTTACCCCTAATAGGACAATTACTGCTTTTGTCAAAATGTGAATATCAAGTGTACCCTTCTGAAGCAGCATCAGTGAACATGGTGCTGAAACCGTATTTATTGCTTTTTGTCCCTCCCCCCCGCCCCCAATTTGGTGGGATTATTTTCTGGTTGAGGTACTCTGGGCTGATGGGAAAAGCATTCGATCTGAATCTCCTCTGTCACTTTCCACTGTGTGGTCTGGGGCAAGCCACCTGACGTTCCTGGGGAAGTGGAATGGAGGAAGAGCTGGGATAACGGCAGCCCGGTGGGACTGTCCCCAGGGCCAGATGAAACTATGTCTCAAGAGTTTAGCAGCTTCATGCATTTAACAAATATTATTTTGGTGTTCTGCTTAGCTTCAGTTAAAAACTGTAAGACTTGCCCTGGCTGGCTGGCTTGCTTAGTGGTTAGAGCATCAGCCCTGGGACCTAAGGGATGAGGGTTCGGTTCCCGCCAAGGGGACGAACCTTGGTTGCAGGTCATGCGGGAGACAGGCAACCAGTTGATGTTCTCTCCCTCCCTCCCTTCCACTCTATCTAAAAAAATCAATGAAAAAGTATTTGCCAGTGAGCCTTAACAATACCAACCAAAAATTGTAAGACTTAACATATGGGATACAAGTGTTTCTACAGATTCCTAGCTTAAGAAAAAGAAGACTGGAATTAAGGTAATCCTAAAATATTTCAGGTAAAGAGAGGCATGCTGAGGGAGGGCCATTCCCACATCTGTCATGTTGGTCCTGCAGATCTGGGCTCAGTCATGTTCCTTCTCTGGGTACAATGAGGAAACAGTTCTGGAGGACTAAACAGGGGCATTCCTTAAAGAAGAAAAATGGGTACTTCCTCGCCCCAGTCACCCTTACTCACACCTCCTTAGAGTTGCACAGTAACCCCAGCTAGACAGGAGCAGAACTGACAACATTTCTTTAGGACGATCTGAGACTGGCCCTGTTAACTGATTTCCCCTGAGGTCACGGGGCCAGCGGCAGGAGTTTTGACTTCACGTTCCCTTCCTTTCCATGACCTCGTGCTGCCTCTCAGGAAAGTACCTTGAAATCCACTATGTAGACAGTGAAGGGTGAATAAAAGTCTTAAAACCAAAAAAAGTGACCCGGTTGGTCAACATTCTGGAAAGCTCGCCCTGGCCGCAGTGTGGGGATACACTGGGGGCGAAGGGGAGGGAAATTGGAGACAGTGGGCCCGTTAGGAGGTTGGCTCAGTCATCTGGGGGAGCCAGCAGGACAGCGGCAGGGGCACAGGAAGGGTGATTCAAGGGACAGTTCAAAGATAAAGGGACCATGACCTGAGGGCGAATATGATCTGGAGAAAGAGGGTTTCTAACCTGGGTGCCAGGGCAGAAGGTGAGTAGCCGTGACAAGAGGCCTCAATCCGAGAGACATTAAAACAGTGATCTTGGAAATCAGGTAAGAGAATCTGTAATGACAAGCAAGCCCTTCACAGAGCGGCACACAGAATGTCTGGAAGACATTGACAAACTGGGAAGAGTCCCTTTTCCTCTGAGGGACCTGGCGGGGAGGCTCCAGGTGAGCAGGCACGGTCCTCCCCACCTGCATCCTTAGCGTCTGATTAAGACCCCTGGGAGGATGACAAGCTGGGAGGCCACCATCAGCGCTTCCAGGAGGCAGATGAAAGAGATGTTTTGCAAACGTTAAGCTGCCAAGCAGTCCCTTGATACTAAGAACAGTCAGCAGGCTTTTTATGTGGCAGAAAAATCCTCAGTGTACTCCCCTGGAGGCCGCAGAGTTTGGGCCTCCTGCCGAATGAAGGCCTGGGTCTCTCTCTTCGTTTGCTGGAGACCTGGAGACTATGGCAAACTGTGCCCTGCTTCCGCAATTCGAATTAACCTACGGAATGGAAAGTGCTCGGGGCCCTGTCAGTTACTGTTGTGACTTCAGTTCCATCTCTTAGAGCTGCTAGTTCTTGGATGGGTCAGAGAGCTACTCTGTCCAACACAGCAGTCAGCGGCCACGGGTGGGGATGAGTTCTTGCACGAAGTTCCGATTGACATGTGCTGCAAGTATAAAGCACACGCTGAATTTCAAACACGATGGGAAAAAAGTAAAGTATCTCAACGCATTTTTTTTAGATAAAGTGAAAGGGAAGGAGAAAGGGAGGGAGAGAAGCAACGATTGGTTGCCTCCTTGAACTTGCAACTGAGTCCGTACCTTTGGGAATCAAATCCTCAACTCTCTGGTCCACAGGTTGACACTCTAACTGCTGAGTCAAACCGGCCAGGGCTCAATGCATTTTTTTATATTGCTTACTTGTTGAGATGGTATTTTGAGCACAATGGACTAAATAAAATGTATTATCAAAATTAATTTCACATGTTAATTGTTTTATGTTATTTTTAAAAAATGTTTTTTCTTTATTGATGTTAGAGAGAGAGAGGAAGGGAGAGGGAGAGAGAGATAGAAACATCGATGAGAAAGAACATCGATTGGCCACCTCCTGCATGCCCCCAACTGGGGATCGGACCCACAACCTGGGCATGTGTCCTGACTGGGAATCAAACCAGTGACCACTTGGTGCTTGGGTCGACGCTCAACCACTGAGCCACACTGGCCCGACATGTGTTCATTGTTTTAATGGGACTACTGGTAAACTTAGTCATGTGTGTTGCATATGTCACAGTGTATTTCCATTGGGTAGCACTGCTGTAGGTAATTGAGTGTCCCCAGTATTCACATGTTAGTGACAGCTTTCCACACCTAGGTGATTTTTATTTCATGGAAGTGTATTGCTCTGACATCACTCTTTTCTAAGAAGATAATATTTGGGTCAAAAGGCTTTTCTCTCTCTCAATGGCTAGATGATAGGGTAAATTATTAATTTTTGAAATTCAGCTCTGCAGTACAGTTTCACAGGAAGTCAGTTCTCTTGCACCTCACCTCCACTTTTTCCTTGCTACACAGGATGCTCCTAAGGAACTGTCTGAGAAGACAGAATAGGGCCCCTCTCTGCAAGTGCCTGTGAGATCCTGGCTGGTTTGGCTCAGCGGTGAGAGCGTCGGCCTGCGGACTGAATGGTTGCAGGTTCAATTCCTAGTCAAGAGCATGTACCTTGGGTTGCAGGCTCGATCCCCAACCCTTGTTGGGGTCGTGCGGGAGGCAACTAATCGATGTGAGAGGGGGACATGGATGTTTTCCTTTCTCTCTCTTTCTTCTGCCCTTTCACTCTATCAAAATTAATCAATGGAAAAATATCCTGGGTGAGGATTAACAAAAAAATAAAAATAAAATAAAAATAATAAAGAGCAGACCCACAAAACAGTAAAAAAAATATATACATATATCATGTAAACACCCAGGGCAGTAAATGAAAAACTGATGCTAATACAGTACTATGGATGAAAATTGTCGATTATAAGCTTCTTTTGTAGAAAAGCAGAAAATAGTGGGATAAGAGCCTGGGAAATATGAAAGTTAAGTTTCCATGGAAACAATCGTTTACCCACAATGCCAATATTCCATGTGTATGAGAGCTTGTGTGTAAAAATGATGGCAGACACATAGTAAGCACATGCCGGAACATGGCTCCGAGAGCTTTATACATAAACTCCAACACGACAAGGCGAAGGAGGGACGATCCTTTCCTGAGGTTCAGAGAGAGAAGCTCAAGATCAGGTAGGCAGGGAACCAGGACTGAATCCCGCCTCACTGACCTCTCCATTGCCTGGTCCTCTGAGCTAGTGCTGCCTAGTTACAGCCAGACAGAGTCATGGGTGGACAGGGAGCAGGAGAGGACTTTCAATCTTTCTTTCTTTCTGTTTTTCTTTATTGATTTGAGAGAGAGAGGAAGGAAGAGGGAGAGAGAGAGAGAAACATCGATGAGAGGGAACATCGACTGGTCGCCTCCTGCATGCCCCCAACTGGGGATCGGGCCCACAACCTGGGCATGTGCCCTGACGGGGAATTGAACCGGCGACCTATTAGTGCGTGGGTCGACGCTCAACCACTGAGCCACACCGGCTGGGCGGACTTTCAGTATTTCTAGTTTGGTTGCATCTTAAGATTTTCGTGTTTTCCACATTAGTGCCTTTAATGCCATTAAAAGCTGGAGATGGTAACTGACCAGTTCCTATGAAGAAAGGAAGGACTGAAAATAAGTCCTTTCGGAGCTGAAAGTGAGTTCACTTCCGCCATGAGATACCCGAATGCAATCACTGGACCACTCAGCCGTGACCCAGAAACACCAGACTGCACAATGAAGTTATTGATTTTTGAAATTTTATCACAAATAGTTCATAATGCTAAACATGGGGAGAGGTTTTCCTGATGGAAACTTGAGAAAACCGGGGCACTGGATAATTTATCTCATTTGGAGTTACTT